GAAATGATAAATCAATTAATTCAAAATGACATTTAAGTCAAAAAAAAAAAGAAAAAAAAAAGAAAAAAGGAGAATACATTTAACTAAAAAGTAACCAAAAACGGTTAAGGGCAATTTCATCTCACCAAAAATTTTTAAATATGAAATATTTGGTGTCAAACTAATGGTACCACCAGATCCGTACTTTTTGCTGTCATGTCACCAACATTCTTACATTCTCTTCCTCCCGGAAACCTCTCCGATCATAACAATACCTAAACTTAAAATGAAAATAGAAAACAAAATTCCTTAATTTCAAGGCTATTTCACAAAATTTTGAAAAAAAAAAAAAGAGGCAGTCAATCATGCTTTTCTCATTTTGAATTTATTTCAATCCAATTCTTTCGAATCTAAATTTCAAAATCCAGGTAATTTTGTGATTTTCCCTTTTGCTTAATCATCCAAATCTTGTGTTTGGTTTCTAAGAAACTTGACAAAAATGGATAAATGGAAGTTTTCAACTTTCATATTATTTTCTTGTGTTTTCTGAGAAACCAAATAAAGGAAATTATGGGTAAATTATATTATTTGTTTATCTGTGCACCTTTTTATTAACTTTGATTGATTCAAAATATGAGATTCCTTTTTTTTTCATTTTGTAGATTTGTTTTGAAATTTTGAGAAAAAATGGCCAATCTCCAAGACATAAGTCTCTCGGCTGCCATTAATTTGCTTAGCGCTTTTGCATTCCTTATAGCGTTTGCAATTCTACGACTTCAACCATTTAATGATAGAGTTTACTTCCCGAAATGGTATCTTAAAGGCATAAGAAGTAGCCCAACACGTTCCGGAGCATTTGTAAGCAGATTCGTTAACTTAGATTGTAAAACATATTTAAAGTTCTTAAATTGGATGCCTGCAGCATTAAGAATGCCAGAACTTGAGCTCATAGATCATGCAGGACTTGATTCTGTTGTGTATATTCGAATTTACCTTCTCGGGTATGTTATTTGAATGAATTAAGTTTTTATGCAGTGGATATATCTATTTTTCTAGAGTTCTTAATGAATTTCTTATATTACTTCATTTGTTTTTAGCATTTTTCACTAATGGATATAGCATCTAATATGATGACATTTGTTCACAGCTTGAAAATGTTTGTTCCATTATGTACATTAGCACTTGCAATTTTGGTGCCTATAAATTGGACAGGAAAGTTATTAGAGCGTCAACATGCCAAGGATTTAACGTTCAATGACATTGACAAGCTGTCAATATCGAATGTAGCAGAAGGATCGCAAAGGTAAAAACTGATGAACATATTTGCTTTTTCTTTTTTTTTTCCAATTATTTGCTTATAGAATCTTATAGTCTTGATGTCATTATGCTATAATGCTAGGTGCATTAAAGAATTTCATATGGAAGAATGGAGGACTAAGCTAAGAGAATAATCTTCTACAATTAAACTTAAGTTGTATCATTTGCCATGCTTTGTGTAGCTTTTACAAAAATGATATAGATTAAAGTCTTATTTTGATGGTGTTGATTCTATACATTGACCTTGCTTATGGTATTAATTATGTAGTTTTAATTGAAAGATGAACATGAAATTGGTTTAGATATTTTAGTACATATGTTGATAGATATACCATGACAGAGACTCCCCAAGTCATAATTATATATTGAATTAGAATATTTGCAAGCAACAAGTTCTTAAATATAATATTTTGCATTAAAGAAAAATATTACATTGTTGTCAAATGTTTTATTTGCACAAATAGTTGGTTCTTTTTCCTTTTGTTTTTGGTAAGGAAAAAATCTCAACTTGTCCCTTTATAGGTTCTGGGCACATATGGCTGTGGCATATATCTTCTCATTTTGGACAATGTATGTGCTATACATTGAATACAAAACAGTTGCTGCTATGAGATTGCGATTTTTAGCATCTGAAAATCGTCGTCCTGATCAATTCACTGTGAGTTCTTTTGACTTATCTTTAATATACATAATTGATTTAGATTATCTTGTATGAATACAATGATGTATGATGATCTATTTGCAACTATTGTCCATGTAAAACATGTTGATCTTTTTGGAAACATAAATAATTTCTAAGTTCGAGAAAAGGTGATTTCAAACAACATTAATTTGCATTAAGATTGAAACAAGATGCAAAAGAGAAATTACAAACTCACAAAACACCTAAGCAAACAGCATCATATTTCACTATTTATTTGAGTAATTTTAAATAATTATATGGTCTGAATGCATTTTCTTTTATTGGAATTATAGTCATTTTGTATTATCAGACTTCTATTTAGTAAGTAATTGCTCTCTTGCTCAATTCATCATTGATATAAATTGTGTGTATCTAAAGGTTGTTTCTCTTAATTACATATTAAAATTTGTGAGTAGTTCATGCATATGAGAGCATTTCTTTTAGCTAACTTAAAATTTTTATTTGTTTCTTTTTATTTTATTTGAAACTTTTCTTGCAGGTTCTCGTACGAAATGTTCCCCCTGATGCTGATGAATCAATTAGTGAGCATGTTGAGCATTTCTTTTGTGTAAATCACCCAGATCACTACCTTACTCATCAAGTATGTTTCTACAATAAGATCAGCCATTGAAAAAAGTTTGAATGTAAATTATCATATGAAGAAAATTGAATTGTTGGTAATATATACTAATAGTTCTTTTATTTAAGAGTGAAACCGTTTGAATTTGAAGAGTTGTATTTGAAGTATTATTCAGCTTCTATGCCTTTAATTTTCATATGTTCCATTATGTATTTTTTAAATTTAATAGGTCGTATATAATGCCAATAAGCTTGCAAACTTGGTGGCAAAGAGGAAGAGTCTACAAAATTGGTTTACTTACTACAATAACAAGTATGAAAGAACTTCAAACAAGCCAACCACAAAGGTAATTTCCTAGCATGATAAACTAAATATTTTCATTTTGTTGGCTCTAAAATACCCTCTTTTAGTGGATCAGTCTATGATTAGCAATATGATAAAAGCAAAAATATATGGAAAATATATAATTTACTGTTGAACATTGATTTACAGCTCCCATGTTATTAATGATTTTTCTATTATTATTATAGACAGGCTTATGTGGACTTTGTGGTACAACCGTTGATGCCGTTGATTATTATGCTGCTGAGATTCAAAAGATTGAACAAGAAGTAAGTTTTGAATAAATTAAATTGGAAATTTTGTCAGTTTATATGTTATTTATTAGAATTTTTTTATGAGTTTGACAATATCATCATCGTTGTTCCTATTGTCACAATTATTGCCATTATGACAAAAAATAAGCATTTCATTTATCATGTCTTTAAGCCATCCCCTTATGATGATATATTTTACATGATTACTCTTTTTACTAGAATACTCTTTTTTCGTGATTAAATCTCTAATTTGGTTTCTTAACTATTATATGGACTCTCAATTGGTTCTTAAACTAAAAATATCTTTGATTTGGTCCATACTGTTACCAATTTAGCACCAAGTTGGTCCTTTTGTTAAAAAATCATTTATCTGTCCGTTATTTAATGACAAAAAACTGTTATTTAACGGCCACATATCACATTAATAATAAGACATTTCATCTACTTTGTACTGAAGGATCAACTTGGAGCCAAATTGGCAAATAGTAGGATCATATCAAAGATTTTTTTAGTTTAAGAACCAAATCAGAGGCCCATACAATAGTCGAGGGACCTAATTAGGGGTTTAACCTTCTTTCACTCCTTTCTTTTGATTAAAAGTAAACCTCTAATACCCTTGATAGATATGCAGACATTTTGAAAAGAAGTTGTTACTTTCCTTTATGTACATTGACACAGGATAAGATAGACATATAAAGATGTACAAATAGGATATTAGACTTCTAATAATGTTTTCTCTTATTCCCCAAAAGTGTAATTTTCATTTTTATACAGGAAGTTGCAGAACGAGAAAAAGTCTTAAGTGATTCTAAATCCATAATTCCAGCAGCATTTGTTTCATTCAAATCTCGTTGGGGAGCAGCCATTTGTGCTCAAACTCAGCAATCTAGTAACCCTACACTTTGGTTGACTGAATGGGCCCCTGAACCACGCGATGTCTACTGGGATAATCTTGCAATACCATACGTTGAACTCTCCATTCGAAGATTGCTCATGGCCAGTGCACTATTTTTTCTTACTTTCTTCTTCATGATTCCTATAGCATTTGTTCAATCTCTTGCCAACATTGAGGGGATTGAGAAGGTTTTTCCTTTTCTGAAAAAGATACTAGAAACGTACGTTCCTCTCTTCTGTTAGCTAAAGCTTTCTTTTTGTATACTCTAAATTTTCCTCACTTGAGCTAGAAGCAATCATATTTCTAAATTGTTAAAATAAAGAACAGTTTCTCTTTGATGCTACATTGTGTTTTTCCAATGAACCTAACCTAAGTGAAGAAATGCAATGACTGTTCCATCCCTACTTCCTAATCTCAACCATCGGATGCTATATGACCATTCATTATGTTTTCATTATCCTGACTAAAAACAATGTTTCCACAATTTAGTGGCTAAGGTTTCAACTACTAAATAATTTTGTTGCAGGCCATCTATAAAGTCTCTGATCCAAGGATTTCTCCCAGGGATTGCATTGAAGATATTTCTTATTATACTTCCAACAATTCTCATGATAATGTCCAAAATAGAAGGATTTACATCAGCTTCATCTTTGGACAGAAGATCCGCTGGGAAGTATCACTTATTCCTAGTTGTCAATGTATTTCTTGGAAGCATTATTACAGGAACAGCATTTCAACAACTTCAAACTTTTATTAATGCGCCCCCAACAGAGTACGTAACCCTCTATACCTAGAAAGAAAGCTAAAAACATTTTATTTTTTCTAATAACCTAAGAGAGAAAATGTCCTGCATCAAGAAATATTATCAAAACCTAAACATATTTTTGTTCTTTTAGAACATATAAGTTGATTTATGCCTCTACTTAAAGGCACCAATTTAGTATTGTGCATGGTCTCGTAATCATAATTTCTTGGGGGGTCCATAGCTTCAATTCATGACATTAGTTCTTAGTTGTTGCTAACCGCTTATGATGTTAGCCTTTTTTCACTTTTTCTCTCTTTTGAATGTCAAGCATGCTTTTGTCAATAGTGATCCTTATCTATTTTGTTTATAATTTGTTGTATACCCGTATAGACGACTTATTTTGAATGACTATTGTTACTTGTCTGCATTTTAGATACTTAGTTTTTTCTATTGTTGTTTATCTCATATTATTGTATGTAAAATGAAAGCTTACCTTATATTGTGTTTCTAATCAACATAATAAACACTATGTTAATTGTGCAGGATTCCAAAAACTATTGGTGTGTCTATTCCAATGAAAGCCACATTTTTCATTACTTATATAATGGTTGATGGATGGGCTGGAATTGCTGCCGAGATCATCAGATTGGTGCCACTAATCATGTTTCACTTAAAAAACACATTTTTGGTTAAGACAGAAGAAGATAGGAATCAAGCAATGGATCCTGGTAGCTTAGACTTCCCAACATATGAACCTCGCTTACAACTTTACTTCTTGCTAGGGCTCGTGTATTCAGTTGTCACACCCATCCTTCTTCCTTTTATCGTTATCTTCTTTGCTTTTGCCTATATGGTATTTCGTCACCAGGTACAACATACCAGCTATCAAAATAGCTTAGGCAAATATATATGGAATCTTAAGTTATTTACTTTGTCGTGCTCTACAACTTATGTAGATGCAGTGTTAATTGTTTTCTTCAATAGCTTAGCATGTTTTAATTCTATATTTATCTCCCATGTAGTTATAAATTGGATAATATTCTCATTTAGTGTTATCCAAATTTTACTATTCAACGTTACTAAAAGTTTTCTAGTTTATTTTGGCAAGGTTATCAATGTATATGATCAAAAATATGAGAGTGGAGCTGCATTTTGGCCAGATGTGCATCGACGCTTGATTATCAGTTTAATTATATCTCAACTTCTTTTATTAGGATTGTTGAGTACAAAGCGGGCTGCTAAATCAACACTTGTACTCATTCCTCTTCCTATTTTGACTATTTGGTTTCACAAATATTGCAAGGGTCGATTTGAATCTGCATTTGTAAAGTTTCCATTACAGGTCAGTAGAGAATAATCTTAATGTCAAAGAAAAGGTCTAAAGAAACTCTTCTCCTAAATTCTTATTCGCCTACTCTTTTGCTGTCATGAAAATGAGAAAACTTGCTGTTATAGATAATATCATGCCTTACTTGAGCTTATAGTGTCAAATGCCACCACATTCAATAGAAGTACAATAATGTTAGATTGAATTACATTATTAAGGGCCCTAAGACTCGAATGATATCCAGCCTGCTTCATATAATGATCCTAAGAAACATATTATGTTCCATTCTCATATATGTCTTGTAATGCTTTAGTTGACATAAATTTCATAACATGACAGGATGCCATGGTAAAGGATACATTGGAACGTGCGACAGAACCAAACTTGAACTTGAAAGCCTACCTTCAAGATGCTTACATACATCCAATTTTCAAGGGTACTGACTTTGAAAGACCACAAATCACTGATGAAGAGGAGGAGAGCCCACTTGTTCCAACAAAGAGAAAAAGCAAATATAATTCTGAGATGAGTTCTACAGAAGGTGTTTAATCTTTTAAACATCCATTTTTGTTTCCTTGTCTAAATTGTACTTAAAATAATATCTCCACATCTTTAGTTTGGAATAAAATGTAAATTATAATTCTAGATGAGTTTGCAATTGTTATAGAGAGAACCATGCTACTCCATAATGAAGAGGATTTTTTTTGGAATGGTTAAATTGAAGCACTTTTGACTCTAATGCATCACTTATCATATAACATATATAAAACACAATGTATTATGGACTCATAAGTGATATACTTTTGTATTTTTTTTTAAGGGGAGAAAAAAAAAAAACTTATTCTACTATTGATATATTGCAAAAAAATGACCTACCTAAATGGCATCATTTGATTGCTTAATTACTTTATATTCGTTTATCAATAATTATAAAAACTACAGTCTGAGCTATTATATTTATAGGGGTTTATCAACTTCTATTTTTGGCATGTGCTAGTGCTACATGTCCCATTGTAGCAGCACTGCTTCCATTACTAAGATTCAAAAACTAAGAAATGATAGAGAGGGCCTAGAGAAAATTAAGGCCCTTCTTCTTACAATTTGTGTTTATTGTTATCATCTTCTGTCGTCTGTTATCTCATGTCACCTTGGGGCACAAGGAACATTTGCTATCCCAAGTTCCATCTGCTACTCTAAGTTAAGTATGTTCTTCTGCTCACTCTCTTCTTCTCCGTCTTCCCTCCATGAATCCGGACTTTGAGAAAATTGTTCCCATGGAATCATTGTTCTTAAACTCTCTTAAATTTGTTAAATTTCCCCCCATTGGCTTGAAATGTGATGCAATCGCTTGGTCATATCTCGATTCAGAAGTAGATTTTGATTTGGTATTTTTAGGTATATATCATGCATATTAGCTTGGTTTTAATGGAATTGATATTCCATTGAAGTGGGGTGTATATGATTTTGTGAAGAGTTGTTTGTTTGCAAAGTCTGTGCCTTTCAGGACTTGAAATTTTTTTTTTTTTGATAAAATGTGAATTTAAATATCCAAAATAACAAAGAAAATACAATACAATGAAATAGCAGGTTGCTACAAAGAATGAATACCAGTAAATCATATCAAAATATACAAATATGTGCAATTACTCCACAAAAATTGAATTGTAGTTTTATGTGTTGAAGGTTATTCTTGATATTTATTTTGTTTGGGGTGAACCAACTCTTTCTTTTTGAACAGAAATTTGTTTAAATTCATGGTGTACTAAGGAAAACTATCCCCTTTTTAGTAGGGTTCTTTATTCTACTTTCTGTATTTTGATTTTTGATGTTTGATTTTTTTTATTTTTTTATTTTTTTTTTGGTAGAAGAGATGGCAATACTCTCTCCATCACTTGTGATACATTGTGGATGTCTGAACTGCGGAGTTGTGGAATTATCTAAATTGATGGCTACCAACCATCATACCTGTAAGAACAGAATTGTACAGAGCTTTGGTAGAGTAGACATGGGAAAAAGGAATTTCTATAGAAGAAAAGTTGCACATAATGCCATGAAGTCCCCTTATCAGAATCGTGATTTGAAAACATTTGCAGTGTCACGAGTTTCTGTTGATCAAACCTAAAATCTGTTCACCAATACTAGTCTAGTTGGTGAACTTAAAAAGCTATCAACTAATCTCTTCAGGACAGAAACAGTGGACAGGTGAAGGTTTTGGTTGGAAAGAATGGTGTCCAATATGTGGTAAATATTTAAGTCTCTTCCTTGCAGTTGTCTACGAATGAGAGTCCGGTGCTAAGTTGGAAAGTGTATAGATCCAATTTATCTGATTAAGATTCGGAAACTAAAATGGTTGAAACCCCATTTGTACCAAGGTCTTTTGGTAATTTGGCACTTGAGGTGGAGTTTGAAGCAAAAGAGGCTCCATTCTATTTCTCCTTTCTGCTGAAACATTCATCAAATGCAAATTCAGAGATCAGGACTCATAGGAAGACATATTTTTTGTGTGCCAGTTGGTTTTGATCCAGGTTGTCCGACACCATTGGGTCTGTCATTTTCAAGTGATGGTTCCATGAACTTTGCAATTTTCTTAAGGAATGCTAAAAGTTTGGTTCTTTGCCTATATGATGATACTATGTTATAGAAGCCTGCTTTGGAGCTTGATCTCGATCCAAATGTAAATTGATCTGGTGACATTTGGCATGCATCAATAGATGGTGCCTGGAACTTTGTGAGCTATAGTTGTCGTTGCAAGAAAAATGGAGAAGAATTTCATGCAAACCGTGTTCTTTTGGATCCCTATGCTAAAATTATTGGCAGTTCCATTCCCAATCTGCATGAGTCTAGTTTGCTTCTGAAATACCTTGGACGGCTATGCAAGGAACCTGCTTTTGATTGGAGTGGTGATGTTTGTCCAAACTTCCCTGCAGAAAAATTAGTGGTTTATCGGTTGAATGTAATGTGTCCAAACTTAAAAGTTACAACATTTAACGATCTTGGCATGAATGCGACCCTATTTGAGCCAATATTTACGTTTGATGAGCAAAAAGGACCATACTTCCCTTATCATTTCTTTTCACCAACAAACCTTTATGGGCCTTCGAATGCATCTGTAACTGCCATTGACTCAATGAAGGAAATGGTGAAGAAATTGCATGCTAATGGAATAGAGGTCTTGCTAGAAGTTGTCTTCACAGCTACTTCAAAGGGTGAGGCCCTGCAAGGGATTGATAATGCATCATATTATCACAGGAATGTAGTGGAAGAGTTGGAAGCAAGAAATGCTTTAAATTGTAACTATCCTATTGTCCAACAGATGATTTTAGACAGTCTTCGGCATTGGGTGACTGAGTTTCACATTGATGACTTCTGTTTCATCAATTCTTCGTTTCTGTTGAAAGGGTTCCCAGGGGAATTCTTGTCTCGGCCTCTTTTGATTGAAGCAATTGCATTTGATCCAGTACTTTCTGAGACCAAGATCAGTGCAGATTGTTGAGATCCACATGACATAGTGGTAAAGGAAATCCGCTTTCCTCACTGGAAGAAATGGACAGAGATGAACATAAAGTTCTGTACAGATGTGAGGAACTTCATAAGGGGTGCGGTTGCTATTAGTGACTTTGCAACACAACTTTGTAGTAGTGTTGGCATTTTCTTAGATGGGCGAGGCCCTGCACTTTCTTTCAATTTTATATCAAGAAATTTTGGACTTACTCTTGTGGAGTCGTTCAGTTTTAGTATGACTGAGTTGGCTTCAGAATTAACTTGGAACTGTGGGGAAGGAGGACCTACAACTAAAAGTTCTCTCCTTGAAAGAAGACTCAAACAGATTCAGAATTTCCTCTTTATTTTGTTTGTTTCACTAGGGGCTCCAGTTCTTAACATGGGAAACGAATGTGGCCAATCTTCTGGCGGTTCCCCATTTTATGGCAGCAGAAAACTTTTTGATTGGAATGTTGTGACAACAGGTTTTGGCATTTAAATCACCGGGTTTATCTCATTTTTAAGTTCACTAGAATCAACCAAAGCAACCTTTTGCAGAAGAGGAACTTCTTGAAAGAAGAAAATATCGAATGGCATGGAAGCAACGGGCCTCCACCAGGATGGGAAGAACCCTCTTACAAATTTCTGGCAACGACACTAAAGGCAGACAAACCCGAAAGTCAGTCCAACTCCAAGGCTTCTCAAGCAATGGGTGATCTCTTCATTGCCTTGAATGCAGCTAAACATTCTGAGAATGTCATTCTACCCCCACCCCTAGAAGGGATGGCATGGCATTGTTTAGTTGACACTGCTTTACCATTCCCAAGGTTTTTCACCATTCATGGCAAGCCTGTCCTTGAGCAGATGGTGGGATTAGTCACCTATGAAACGAAATCTCACAGCTGCACTTTGTTTGAAGCCCGAGGTAATGGTCTGCGGCAAACATCAATGTCAATTGATCTTTAAAGTGAAACCTTCTTGTAACTGCACCAAACCGGAAGTCCTTCTTCAGTCCGTATCTGCACTTTAGATTGACCTGCAAAGCCCCGAGATGGATCCTCGGGGTAGACACTCCGATGCTTAAGTCAACAATAATCGGGGTTACCTTTGAAGCGGAGAAACAAGGAGCTTAGGGTTGGTTTCAATTACCTTTTTGACGTGGCCCTTAAGGGGTATTTATATGTTCCGATGAAGAATCCACGCGTCACACCAATCAAGATGTCAGGCAAGATATCCGGGATCCGATGTGTATCTCCAGGCAGTTATTTCGGGACCGGGAGATTGAGCCGAGCAAGATATTCGGGATTTGATATGTATCTCCAAGCAGTTATTTCGGGATTGGGGGATTGAGATATGTTTAGATGCAAGGATGTCCATCGTAACAGCTGTGTAGCTGTTCGAGCGGGAAGCTTTGAACTTACCCTTACACTATTCCCCCCCCCCCCGAAGTCATTCACTTGTGAATGATGTTGTTGGAAATTATAGGGGTAGTGCATAAATAGAAATGAGTATGGGAATGAAAACCCGTTCCTTTACCTGAATAGATGACTATAGGCCACGTGTAGTTATGAGTCATAATAAAAAGTGCTAACCATGGTCACGGTGGCCGGAACCGAAGTAAAACGTGTGACACTGGGTCACTATGGCCGTAGCCGAAGCAAAATATGTGACTAAGTCACTGTGGCCGTAGCCGAAGTGAAATGTGAATGGGTCACTGAGGCCGTAGCCGAAGTAAAATATGTGACTAAGTCACTGTGGCCGTAGCCGAAGTGAAGCATGTGGCACGGGGTCACTATGGCCATAGCCGAAATGAAGCATGTGACACGGGGTCACTGTGGCCATAGCCGAAGTGAAGCATGTGACACGAGGTCACTGTGGCCGTAGCCGAAGTAAAGCATGTGACACGGGGTCACTGTGGCCGTGAAAAGAGAGCTGCAGCAATTAAACGGGCAAATTTAAAAACGAACCGACGGGTTCAAAACGGTGTCGTTTGATGGTTAACCGTCGAATTCGAAACGGTGTCTCTGCAGCCGCTAGATGGGGCGAATCACAGCCGTTGAGGCGTGTTCTGCCTTTGGTATAAAAAGCTAAACTTCTGTAAAGGGAGACTTTTACAATTTTTGCTTCAA